ATGGGTGAGGGGATGCATGGGTGAGGGGATGCATGGGTGAGGGGATGCATGGGTGAGGGGATGCATGGGTGAGGGGATGCATGGGTGAGGGGATGCATGGGTGAGGGGATGCATGGGTGAGGGGATGCATGGGTGAGGGGATGCATGGGTGAGGGGATGCATGGGTGAGGGGATGCATGGGTGAGGGGATGCACGGGTGAGGGGATGCACGGGTGAGGGGATGCACGGGTGAGGGGATGCACGGGTGAGGGGATGCACGGGTGAGGGGATGCACGGGTGAGGGGATGCATGGGTGAGGGGATGCATGGGTGAGGGGATGCATGGGTGAGGGGATGCATGGGTGAGGGGATGCATGGGTGAGGGGATGCATGGGTGAGGGGATGCATGGGTGAGGGGATGCATGGGTGAGGGGATGCATGGGTGAGGGGATGCATGGGTGAGGGGATGCACGGGTGAGGGGATGCACGGGTGAGGGGATGCACGGGTGAGGGGATGCACGGGTGAGGGGATGCGTGGGTGAGGGGATGCGTGGGTGAGGGGATGCATGGGTGAGGGGATGCATGGGTGAGGGGATGCATGGGTGAGGGGATGCATGGGTGAGGGGATGCATGGGTGAGGGGATGCATGGGTGAGGGGATGCATGGGTGAGGGGATGCATGGGTGAGGGGATGCACGGGTGAGGGGATGCACGGGTGAGGGGATGCATGGGTGAGGGGATGCATGGGTGAGGGGATGCATGGGTGAGGGGATGCATGGGTGAGGGGATGCATGGGTGAGGGGATGCATGGGTGAGGGGATGCATGGGCGAGGGGATGCATGGGCGAGGGGATGCATGGGCGAGGGGATGCATGGGCGAGGGGATGCATGGGTGAGGGGATGCATGGGTGAGGGGATGCATGGGTGAGGGGATGCATGGGTGAGGGGATGCATGGGTGAGGGGATGCATGGGTGAGGGGATGCATGGGTGAGGGGATGCATGGGTGAGGGGATGCATGGGTGAGGGGATGCATGGGTGAGGGGATGCATGGGTGAGGGGATGCATGGGTGAGGGGATGCATGGCTGAGGGGATGCATGGCTGAGGGGATGCATGGCTGAGGGGATGCATGGCTGAGGGGATGCATGCCTGAGGGGATGCATGCCTGAGGGGATGCACGGGTGAGGGATGCACGGGTGAGGGGATGCACGGGTGAGGGGATGCATGGGTGAGGGGATGCATGGGTGAGGGGATGCATGGGTGAGGGGATGCATGGGTGAGGGGATGCATGGGTGAGGGGATGCATGGGTGAGGGGATGCATGGGTGAGGGGATGCATGGGTGAGGGGATGCATGGGTGAGGGGATGCATGGGTGAGGGGATGCATGGGTGAGGGATGCATGGGTGAGGGGATGCACGGGTGAGGGGATGCACGGGTGAGGGGATGCACGGGTGAGGGGATGCACGGGTGAGGGGATGCACGGGTGAGGGGATGCACGGGTGAGGGGATGCACGGGTGAGGGGATGCATGGGTGAGGGGATGCATGGGTGAGGGGATGCATGGGTGAGGGGATGCATGGGTGAGGGGCTGCATGGGTGAGGGGCTGCATGGGTGAGGGGATGCACGGGTGAGGGGATGCACGGGTGAGGGGATGCATGGGTGAGGGGATGCATGGGTGAGGGGATGCATGGGTGAGGGGATGCATGGGTGAGGGGATGCATGGGTGAGGGGATGCATGGGTGAGGGGATGCAGGGGTGAGGGGATGCAGGGGTGAGGGGATGCACGGGTGAGGGGATGCACGGGTGAGGGGATGCACGGGTGAGGGGATGCACGGGTGAGGGGATGCACGGGTGAGGGGATGAATGGGTGAGGGGAGGGGATGCAGGGGTGAGGGGATGCACGGGTGAGGGGATGCATGGGTGAGGGGATGCATGGGCGAGGGGATGCATGGGCGAGGGGATGCATGGGCGAGGGGATGCATGGGTGAGGGGATGCATGGGTGAGGGGATGCATGGGTGAGGGGATGCATGGGTGAGGGGATGCAGGGGTGAGGGGATGCATGGGTGAGGGGATGCATGGGTGAGGGGATGCATGGGTGAGGGGATGCATGGGTGAGGGGATGCATGGGTGAGGGGATGCATGGGTGAGGGGATGCATGGGTGAGGGGATGCATGGGTGAGGGGATGCATGGGTGAGGGGATGCATGGGTGAGGGGATGCATGGGTGAGGGGATGCACGGGTGAGGGGATGCATGGGTGAGGGGATGCATGGGTGAGGGGATGCACGGGTGAGGGGATGCACGGGTGAGGGGATGCATGGGTGAGGGGATGCATGGGTGAGGGGATGCATGGGTGAGGGGATGCATGGGTGAGGGGATGCATGGGTGAGGGGATGCACGGGTGAGGGGATGCACGGGTGAGAGGATGCACGGGTGAGGGGATGCATGGGTGAGGGGATGCAGGGGTGAGGGGATGCATGGGTGAGGGGATGCATGGGTGAGGGGATGCATGGGTGAGGGGATGCATGGGTGAGGGGATGCATGGGTGAGGGGATGCACGGGTGAGGGGATGCATGGGTGAGGGGATGCATGGGTGAGGGGATGCATGGGTGAGGGGATGCATGGGTGAGGGGATGCATGGGTGAGGGGATGCATGGGTGAGGGGATGCATGGGTGAGGGGATGCATGGGTGAGGGGATGCATGGGTGAGGGGATGCATGGGTGAGGGGATGCATGGGTGAGGGGATGCATGGTTGAGGGGATGCATGGGTGAGGGGATGCATGGGTGAGGGGATGCATGGGTGAGGGGATGCATGCCTGAGGGGATGCATGGGTGAGGGGATGCACGGGTGAGGGGATGCACGGGTGAGGGGATGCACGGGTGAGGGGATGCATGGGTGAGTGGATGCATGGTTGAGGGGATGCATGGGTGAGGGGATGCATGGGTGAGGGGATGCATGGGTGAGGGGATGCATGGGTGAGGGGATGCATGGGTGAGGGGATGCACGGGTGAGGGGATGCACGGGTGAGGGGATGCACGGGTGAGGGGATGCATGGGTGAGTGGATGCATGGTTGAGGGGATGCATGGGTGAGGGGATGCATGGGTGAGGGGATGCATGGGTGAGGGGATGCATGGGTGAGGGGATGCATGGGTGAGGGGATGCACGGGTGAGGGGATGCACGGGTGAGGGGATGCACGGGTGAGGGGATGCATGGGTGAGTGGATGCATGGGTGAGGGGATGCACGGGTGAGGATGCACGGGTGAGGGGATGCACGGGTGAGGGGATGCACGGGTGAGGGGATGCACGGGTGAGGGGATGCCAGAACGGGGAAAAGAAGGGCGGAGGAAACGGAAAGGAGAAGGTGAACGAGGGCACGTGAGACAAGGATTGGAAAACCTCGGGTGGGCAGAAAAGCAGTACCCACTGCACTCCCAGCACCCACCCCCTACCCGTTGCCTGCACTTCCCGCGGGCCCCACGGCGCTCCCCCCATGCGCGTCAGTGTGCGGCGCGCCTGCGGCCTCCGCGCCCCCCCCGAAGAACAGCTGCACCGCCTCCTCCAGCTGCCAGTTCGTCGCCTGCACGCACGCACTCGCACACACGCAAGCAGCGGTTGAGAGCGGTGCATGGCGCGCGGTCACGGAGAGCGACGAGACTCGAGGAGCGCGCAGGCACGCGCGAGGCGGCGGCAACGAAACTAAGACACACGAGCACACGCACGGCTCCAGGGGCATGGCGGGTGAGGCAGCACCTGGCGCGGCACCTGGCGCGGCACCTGGCGCGGCACCTGGCGCGGCACCTGGCGGGGCACGTGGCGCGGTACATGGCGCGCGGGGTCCCCCCCACCTGCAGCATCTGCAGCGCGACGGCGTCGTCGCTGCCAGTGAAGTCGATGAAACTCGCCACCAGCGGACCCACGTCCGGCTCCGCCATGCCGCCCAGCTCCCCCCTCCGCGCTCCCCCCTCCGCGCCCCCGCCGCACCCTGCACCCCGCGCTGCACCGCGCCCTACACCGTGTTCTAAATAACCGCGACCTACACCGCGCGCGCCCCGGCACTCGAACTTGCGGAGGATCGAGGCAGCGCGGAGATTGGCTGTCGGGGTGCGCTGGAAAGGTTGAGGCCGTGCGACAGATGATGCGACGTGAGCAGAGCGACGACAGCAAGGCTGAGTGGCACATACGTATGGTAGGCTTCAGATGCTGCCTGCCTTTTGTGGGTTGTCTGGTTGGGACGAAATTCCACGGATGTGTATGAATAATATGTGTATGTATGTATATAGTAATGTTCGTAACGAAGCACACAGTATTCATGCGATCTTTACTGAGCTGGAGGCAGCAAGAAGTGAGGATGAGGAGCATTCCAAGTGGCCCGGCGAATCAGGCTCGCGACAGGTAACTGCTGGTGGCGACAACAACTTGCAACAAAACCTCGAGAGTTTCGGTGTGTGCTTTTTATTTGGTTGCTTGCAGCTGGGCACCGTTTGTGTGGATTGGTGGATCTCTCCTCCCCATCCCCTCCCACTCCCCATCCGCTCCGCACTCCCCAACCCGCCTTCCTCGCTCCCTGCCGCCTCGACATCCTCGAGCTACGACTCTCGCGCGGCACTGCGCGCCGCACGCTCCTCCATGCTTCTGCCGCCCACCCCTCGCAGCGCGGCACTAGGCTGACCGTTGCGCGTCTTCCGCGGGGCTTTGCATTCTCCGCAGCACTGCGCGTTCCGCCCCAGTAGTTCCCCCTCCGCATGGCGCTCTTAACGCGCAGACCGCTGTTTCTCGCCTCCCCTTCCCCCTCCCCCACAGCTTCCAACACTCGCATTCCCCCTCCCCGGCCCTCGCTCCTCCGCCAACATCGCCTGAGACTGCGGATATGCGTCGCCGCGTCGTCGTCATCGTCGCCTGGCGACCAGAAGGTCGCAGAGCAGGACGAGTCGAGTCTGCCGCCCAAGGAGAGTGAAGTGCTCAGCCTCAAGGTGTGCCTTGCGCTCTCCGCCCTGCCTCCGCGCGCGCTGCTGCCGCGGAATTATGCCTGCTCCGCCTCTGTCATGCGTCCGCTCATCGCGCAATTGGCGCGCGGTGCGCCGCATTGCCGATCACGTTAGGGCGATGCGATGGCGCACTGTCGTGTCGTGCTCCTCGACCATCTCGCGTCGCCGAGTGCGCAGCGCCGCGATCGCGTGTCCCACGGCGCCCAACCCTAATGCCGCACGGGCCCCCGCCCAAAGGAATGCGTGCCGCGGTGCGCTGCCTAATCTGCGCGTCCCACGCTCACTCCGACCCCCGTTCCCTAGAACCACCGCTTTCCTCCCCAACCGCCCGCCCTCAACCCCCTGTCCTCTCCCGTGCTTCCCTCCATCCCCCCTCTGCCGCCTCGCTCCCCCCACCGTCTTCCGCCCACTCTGTGTCAACCGCAGCGCGAGTCGGAGCAACCGCCCCAACCGCCCCCTCCGCGCGACACCAGCGCGTCCGACTCCCTCGTCCGCGGGGCGTGGTGGCGCGGGCAGGCGGCGGGAGCGCGCGCGTCGGTGGGGGAGGTGGTGCGGGGCGCCGTGCGCGCAGTGGAGGACGCGCCCGTCGAGACCGTCGGCGCTGCTGCCGCCGCCTCAGGTGCGCGTGCTGTGTGTTGAGGTGGGGTCCTTGCAAGAGTGCCGGGAGGGCTCGCCGGTAAACCACCTGAGGGTGCATTGCACTTGCCGCTCTTGCCTGCCCTCAATCGCGCCCGCACATTGCATTCTCAACGCCCACCACCGCACCTCCCCCGCACTCATCCCACCCTACATTCCCCTTCCACCTCCCCCTCCCTCCTTCTCTGCCCTCCATGCTTGCCGAGCAATCAGCAGGGCTGGCGGTGCTGGGGGTGGTGTTCGCGACATCGCTGCTGGGGTCGCTGGACTCGGTGCCGCTGGCCCCCGGAGTTCATGCAGACCATCGGTGTCGTCTACTGCGCCCTCGTCGCCAGGTGCCCACACCCTCCCTGCCCATTCCCATTCCCCTTCCCCTTCCCCTTCCCTTTCCCTTCCCCTGCCCATTCTCCCTTCCCCCTCCCCTTCCCTTCCCCTTTTCCTTCCCTTCCCCTTCCTCTTCCGCTTCCCCTTCCCCTTCCCCTTCAACTTCCCCTTCCCCTTCCGCTTCCCCTTCCCCTTCCCCTTCCTCTTCCCTTCCTCTTCCCCCTCCCCTTCCTCCTCACCCTCCCCCTCCACTTCCCCCTCCCTTTCTTCTTACCCCACGTCCTCCCATCTGCATGTGCCCGCGCCGCCCCCTTCTTCCCACTCTCCCCCCCCCCACGGGGCCACACCACACAACACCAGGCAGTATTTCACCAAGAGGAAGATCGCAGTGGCGCCCACGCCCCTCACGGCCATCCAGACGCTCTTCCCCAACTCCACCACCACCACTGACGCCGATGCCGATGCTGACCCAGAGGCCGCTGCCTCCCGCGTTCCCGAGGTCAGAGTCCCATGCTGCTGTGCTGCATGAATGCAGGGGGAGCACGTGCAGTGAACTGCAAGATACTTCCCCCATGAGTTAGACGGGGTTCTTCCCTGCTCTGTCCAGTCCCCACTCTTCTGCTGTCCTCTTCCCCCAGCCGTTTCCCCCACTGTGCCCAATCTCAAGTCCTGCTTTCCCCCCTTTCTCCCCGTTCCCTGGTGCCGGGGCTTGGCGGGGGCGGGCAGGGCGTGGGGATGGGCGTGCAGGGGCGGCTGAGGGCGCTGGAGGCGGAGAGGGACGTGGCGGTGGCGGCGGCGGGGGAGATGCGGCGCGCGGGGCAGGAGATGGCGCGCGTGGTGGCGGAGAAGGAGGCGCTCGAGGCCGTCGCACTGCAGCTCGCGGATGAGAGGGACTCCGCCATCGCTGAGGTAAGTGCAGTGTGGGGCATGCTGGGCAGACATGGGAGGCATGTGTGTGTGTGCACTGTGTATCCCCATGCCATGTGCTTCCATGCACTGTGCATGCCCAGGAGCTTCTGTCTCACCAGTACCCACGGTTGGCATGGCTTGGCATGGTGGTCCTCCTTTGACATGGTGTGGATGGTGCTCATGCATGCATGGGTGCGTGCATGCGCCATGCTTGGAGCAGGTGACAGCACTGAAGACAGCGGTGAATGCGATGACGGAGCGCATGAGGGCGATAGAGGCCATGCTGGCATCCGAGGTGCAGCGCCTGCAGGAGCAGAACCTCGCCCTCGAGACCGTTGCTCTGCAGCTGGCTGACGAGCGTGACTCCGCCATTAAACAGGTGCGTTGTTCCACTGCTTCCCACCCCATCCCAACCCCCTCCATCACCCCTGCATTCTCCTTCACCTCTTGCCATCCCCTCTCTCACTGCACCCTGCCCTGCCCATCATCATCACACCACCTGCCCCGTGTGTGCGCGTTTCATTGCATGCTGTGTGTGTGTGCGCGCGGTGAGCTGGCAGGCATCGGAGCTGAGGTCAGCGTTTGAGGCGCAGAGGGAGGAGGACAAGCGCGTGTTGGAGATGCTAGCAGCGCAGCTGATAGAGGAGCGCAACGCCGCCGTCAAGGAGGTGCAGGAGCTGAAGCAGGTGGTGGCGGGGCTGGCGGAGGCCACGGGGGCGGGCAGCGGGCTGACGAGTGAGATGGAGGCGTTCATCCGCAGCCGCGTGCGCGCCGTCAGGGCCCAGTTCGTTGACATCTCCAAGCCCTACTCGCAGCAGGTGAGTTGACATCTCCAAGCCCTACTCGCAGCTGGTGAGTTGACATCTCCAAGCCCTACTCGCAGCAGGTGAGTTGACATCTCCAAGCCCTACTCGCAGCAGGTGAGTCGATCCTGTGTACCACGATGCATGTGCACTTTTTCATGCTGCAAGAGTCTGTGAGCTTCACATCCTTCCTCCACCAACCCAGCATGCTGGACTCGTTGCTAACTCACCGTCTCCACCCTCGTGCATGTACGTGCCATGTGTGCTGTGTGTGTGCCATGCGCCATGTGCCATATGTGTGTGGGTGCGCGCAGGAGGAGGCGGTGAATGCGTTTGTGGCGCATCTGGTGGACGAGTTCGGAGCCCCCAGGGAGTGGACGCACCGCTACATCCGCCAGTTCCTCGACGCTGCCTCTGACGCCCATGCCATCGCCCTCAACGGCCCCTCGCCGCCCTCCGACCGCTTCAACTGACCGCCTCCTCCCCTCGCTCCTCCGCACCTCAGCATTACCCCGTGTTCATTCTTGCTTGAATAAAGCTCTGCACGCTCGCTCCCTGCTGCTGCCCCTGTCAGTTGCCTGCTGCTCCTCTTGCTCATGCTGCCTGGAGTTGTTGATGTGTTTAAGGCACACAGCCCAATGGGTGGCGTGCACATGGCTCACACAGTGGTGCATAGCAGTCTGCATGGCACTCAGTATTAAGGATGACATTCACCATGCGTTGCCACTCGGTGCTGAATACCCAAGAGCATCTACAGGAGGACAGCTGCTTGACGGCCTCCAGTGCTGCTTGGGAGGAGGCTGTGTGGACTAGTGTGCTTGTCATGCATTTCCTTAGACCAGCGGTTGCCATTGTTCAATTGGCCTGTTTAGATTCACACATGTAGTTGCCAGTAGCAGCAAGCAACGTCTGCCAGGGTTCACTCCACATGTACTGCAAGGTGAAGTGGGCCCACATGGTCATCAGTAGGTCTGTATGTACACGTGCTGACGTGACTGGGAGTGCTACTCCTTCAAGAGCAACTCAAATAATGAAACAAACAGATCACACGTCTTCAGAACCAGTTTTTCCTGATTCTCACCCCAGATTGTACCGCATAATGGTGCCTGGTGTTCTTGCCCTCAACCCCACAGCAGAGCCGCTTTTGACCACATGTGAACAGCCATGCACTTGGCTCTCCACTTACCACAATCGCTTCAACTTTGCAGTTTAAAAATCTCCAGCAGCGCATGTCCAACCAGTAAAAACTGCCTGCAACATCTCTCTCGCCACGCTACTCCGTCCCACCTGTCAGCCCTGCCCCTACTGTCCACCTTCACTCGCTTCTCCCCCCATCCGCCCCACTCCCCGGCTCCACTAGCTGGTGCGCCTCCTCTGCTTGCCCTCCCTGAAGGGGAATGGCGGAGGCGCTGTGATTTTGGGGCAGAAGGGGGGAAGCATCGAGGGGGATAGCGGAGGCAGATGTGGGAGCAGAGGCGGGCACAGGGCGAGACGGAGGGGCGGAGGGGTTGGGAGGTGCAGCGGCGGCAACAGCGGAGAGTGACGCCACGAGCGCTGCGAGCGATGACTCCTGCGGTTGCCGTGATGATGACGAGGGTGGGGTGGCACCCGCTGCTGCTGCTGCTGCTGCTGCTGCTGCTGCTGCTGCTGCTGCTGATGGTGCCGCTGCCTCGCTGCTGCTGCTGCGCACGGGTGTGCGGGCGGTGGCAGCAGCAGCGGTGCCTGCCGGGTGCCCTGCATGGGCCTCTGACGCCCGCCTCGGCCTCGTCTGCATCTGCGGTGTTGCAGGGGGGTGGTGGGCAATGGCAAGAGGGGCCATGGGGAATGGGGGAAACCGTGCAGGTCATGTGAGCATCTATGCAGAAATCCATTAAGAACAAGGGGGTGCTGCCATGGGTGGGCGGGCAAGGCCAAGGAAGGGGAAAAGGCCGAGAGCCCTCACCTTGTTGCCGAAGACACTGAGTTGCATGGCTCGCTCCATCAGCTGCCGATCCACCGCCACACGGTCCGCCAGCATGGCAGCCAGCTCACTGCCACGTGGCATTGTCATCTCACTGTCCTCCACGTCACCATCCCCACCAGCCGCCACAGCCCCTCCGCCCCCCATCATGCTGCCCAGCACCCCGCCCAGCCTGCTCCCCGCGTGCCCCCCTGCCCCTCCCCCAGCGCCATGAGCGCGAGCATCAGCGCCCGCCCGCCCCCTCAGGCGCGCTGTGATGAAGCCATCGTCGTCGTCATCGCCATGCGCGCCCTCCTCCAGCTGCCACCGCAGCAGCGTTGCCGCGTCGTGTGCCGGTGCACTGCGGTGCCCGTGGAAGGCGCTGGTGGGGGGGAAGGGGCGGAAAAGGTGAAGCCACGCATGATCGTTGGCTGGCAGTTCAAGAGATGCATGAGTCAGCAGCAAGCGAAATAAGATCGGGAGGAGTGGAGAGGGACTGGGAAGGGGCATCATACCGTGTAGGCGTGCCCTGCAGGGAGTGCTGTGGGTGTGGCATGTCAACCACCATCAGCTTGCACGTCGTCACTGTCACGTACGACGCCTCCCCCGGCCCCCCAGTGCTGGGCTGGGGAGTGAGGTACGCGGGGGCGTGGATGCTCACAATACGCCCATCCTCCACCATCACCCCCAGCTCCATCTCCTCTCGCCTGCCCGTGCCCTCCCTGCCACTCTGCCACGTGCCCCCCTTGTCCCCATCTCTATCCTTGGAGCTAATGGCGCGCACCAGGCGCTGCCTCCCTTTCGACAGGCTTCTCAGCCCGCTGCGCAGCGCCTCACTGCGCGCGCGCAGGAACCCCCCGCTGCCGCTGCCGCCCCTGCTGCTGCTGCTACCCCCTGCTCCGCCCTGCTCCACGCCCTCGCTCCGCACCTTGCGCACCGCCTGCCCCTCCAACTCCTTACCCCCCCACGCTGTGTCGGCCCTGCCATCTGTCACGTCAGAGGCAACGGTAGAGAGCGCCACGGACGCGGACGTGCGGTCGTCAAAGCTGCTGGCGCTCGTGCTGCCGTTCATGCTGCCTTCCTCCACGCTGCTGGGGGGGGCTGCACTCTCCGCTGCCACCCCACCCGCTGCCATGGGTGCAGGCCGCGAGAGCGACGCCGCAGCACCAGGTGGTGGAGAAGAGGAGGGGCCGATTTGCGGGCTGCCTGCGGCTGCAGCTGCACCTGGGGGGCTGCTGTCTCCGCCACCTCCCTCCCCCTCCTCGCCCTGCTCGTGGCCGTCCTCCCCCTCGTCCGCCCCATCCCCCCCCTGCCTGTCGCTGCCATCCCCCGGCAGGCGCACGGCGCCCAGCAGCAGCAGCGCCACCTCGGAGGGCGCGAGGTGCACGGGGGAGTGCGGGGCGAGGGTGAGCAGGCGCGCGGACTGGGAGAAGAGCACGCGCAGGTCGTGCATGGACAGCAGCCCGAACTCCAAGGGGCGCAGCACACGCGCCACCTCCAGACAGCTCTCCTGCCAACCAGAGTGCATGGTGGGGTTTGACAGGGCAGTGGGAGTTGACAGGGCAGGGCATGTGAGCCGGCAGGAATGTGTGGTGCAGGAATGTAAGCCCTCAAATCCCCATTGCCCCGGGCCCCATCCCAGCGCACCTTCCAGAGGAAGTCCTCAATGGCATCGCTGCTGCTCTTGGCGGCCAGGATCCTCTGTCTATCGATGAAGAAGCAGTGCAGCACACTGTCTGCTGTCACTGAGTACAGGTGCGCGCACCCTCTTAGCGTCTCATACAGCCCCACGGAGCTGCCGTGTGCAAACAGCGGCGGAATGAGGTGCTGCCCGTGCGCCTCCGCCTCCGCCTCCGCCGCCTTGGACGTCCACTGCAGATGGTGGGTGGGGCATGAAGGGCGTGGTTAAAACGATGCGTGGGACCAAGGATGTGAGGGAATGGAAAATGGGAAGATGTTAATGAGACAGGTCCTAGCCTGCAAAACTGCGAATGATGGGCGCATGCAAACACACAAGCACGCACGGGTGGACAGATGCAATGATCGGAGCGAGGGTGCTGACCTTGGCGGTACCGGAGGCGATGAGCCAGACGCCCTGTGCTGGCTGCCCCTCGTGGAAGAGGGAGGCACCGGAGAGCTTAGTGGCCTCTTTGAGCGGCTGCAGCAGCGCCAGACGGATGTCGGCCGGCAGCGCTCCGATGAGCGGCTGCCTCGCCAGCACCTCCCCCGCCGGCAGCATCGCCACAAACGGCGGGCTGCGCTGCAGCTTCTTCATGTCCGCCTGCTCCCACGGGCAGGAGTGAGGAGAACAGGGAGCGGGGGAGGGGAGAGGAGGGGGCGCCGCAGTGTGAGAACAGGGCGTGGCAGGTGAGTGTGGAAACGACATACTTTCACATGGTATGACATGGCATGGTACGGTAAGGCGTGGCACTGTGTGCTATGGCACATGGGGGGTGCAAGGGCGGGGAGAGGGCTGACCGTGACGGCGTTGTGCAGCAGGGTGACCTCCTTCTGGTCCAGCAGCCCTGAGTGGTCGAGATTCTCCACGTAGCCGTACAGCTCCGCCAGTATCGCCTGCGTCACCTGCTTTGTCTTGATGATTGTCAACACCTGCCACCAGGAACGGGCACACAGGGCACGGTATGTTGCGAGAAGACAGGTGAGTGGTGCAGGGGGAGGTATGTGGGCACACAGCACAGCACAGCACAACATGATGAAGTAGAGCACTGCGTGCAAGCATGGCTGACCTCAGGCACGTTGAGGCGCACGGCTCACCTCAGGCACGTTGAGGCGCACGGCTCACCTCAGGCACGTTGAGGCGCACGTCCTCGAGGAACTTCCTGGCCTCCGTCTCCTCCTCCTCGCTCTCCAATATCACCGCCTCCAGTATTGGGCTGTCCTCTGTGCACATGGGCGAGGAGATGGGGAGAGAGGGCATGGTGGGCATGGGTGGCATACAGGACCCGCATGCTGTGAGCAGAGCATGCTGTGCACCCATCTCTTGCCAGGCGTTTAGCATGCAAAAGTTGCCACACGCAACCATGCAACCAAGCAGCAAGTAGCACCCAGCACGCACTGAGGAACTCTCGGAGCTGTTGCCGTGTCTGCCGGAGAGCGCGGATGTAAGCAGCACTCATGGACGCGGCGAGCTCCAGGCGGTCCACGGTGACCCAGTTGAGGGCGCGCTGGGGCAGGATGGGGCGCAGCGAGCGGTGCAGCGCACGGAAGAAGCGCGGCATGCGCACGTGCGGGCGCATGGCCGCCCACAGGCACAGCCGGTGCTGCTCTGTGGTGAGGTCGACGGCCTCCGCCACGGCCTGCATGAGCAGCATGGCGGCCGTCTGGTTGACTCGCCCCTCCTCCAGCATGCTCCAGTACGCCGCCTGCACGCCGTTGAGCAAGCGCAGCCGCGTGTCCGCCAGCTGCTGCTGCCGCACTGCCTCCTCCGCCTGCTTCTCCACATCCATCTCCCCCCCTCCCTCCCCGTGCGCATGCAGCGACGACCCGGTATGCGTGCGGCTGCTGCGCGAGTGCGCGTGGTGCCCTGCTGCCCCTCGCCCCCCCGGCTCCAGCACGCGTTGATCCAGGCACGTGAGGTAGTCGCTGACGGTGCTCCACTCGGCGGGCCCCAGCTCCTCGTCGTCGCCGATCTCCTCAAAGGTCTTGAGCGCGTGGTGGAAGAGCTCGTGGCGCGTGAAGTGGAGCACGTGCTTCTTGACGTTGGACGTGCGGTTGAGGCGCAGCGCGGCGAATATGAACTGCGTGGTGCTGCCGTTCACTATCAGCGTCAGGAACACTATGCCGCCCGTTATGAACATGAACTGGTGGGTGAGGGGGGGAGGGAGAGGAAGGGGAGGACGGGGAGGGAGAGGAAGGGAGTTGTTGGGGGGGAGGCAGGATACAGAGGGTTGGGCATATTAAAGGGAGGAGGTGGAACGAGAGAGCGAGCTGGCAAGGAATTTGCAGGCAGCGACAATGGATGGAGGGTGATAAGTGGCTGTGCGTGTCACCTTGGCTGACGTGGATGCTGAGATCTTGTCGGGGCGCTTCTCATGCTGTAAGGGGACACAGGCACAGGGGGGTATAAAATAGAAAAATGGGCATGTGATCATGACATGTCATGGCATGGCATGGCATGGCATACAGACACAGAGAGAGCAATCACAGCAGAGGAAACTCACAGGAGAGAGCAGCAACGACAGCACTCACGCTGACGACGAGGGCGAGCGTGAGAGCAATGCCGCCGCGCAGGCCGGACCAGACGAGGATGATGGCCTCCTTCCACGTGAGCCCGTAGCCGCTGGAGGCCAGCCCGGGGTACAGCACCCCCACCACCACCACGCGCGACAGCTGCACAAACACAAACAATGCCAGCATGTACCCCCAGTCGCTGCCTGGTGCGCCGGATGAGGATGGGGACGAGGAAGGAGGGGGAGAGGTGTTGGATGCACGTCATTCTGAGTGCATGTCATCCTAACGTCCTGCCGAGTGCTCGTGCTATTTGTGCTTGCATGATTTGCATGAGCATATGTCATTGTGCATGGCTGTTGGATATTATCATCTCTGTGTTTTCTCCAAGTCTAAATGCTTGATCATGCAGGAGAAATCCAGAGCTTTCCAACGATACCAAGATCGCCTTATTCCGACCAAGATCGCCCAAGTTACAAGATTTCCAAGACTTGGATTTCTTATTACCTCTTTGGGGTTATATCTAATCTAGGTGATTATTGGGACATGACTATAAAGGGATCTTTGGTTGGGTGGTTAGGAAGGCAACTTTGACTTTTGGATTGGGGTGGCTAGAAGTTTCTAGCATGGGTTGCAAATGTTGCAATACCTAGGCAAAATCCAACTAGATTGGATTTTGCATGTGACACCTCAAGGACCTCATGATGAGGGTTGCATCCTTGCTGCTAGGAAGGTTCCTACCATCCTTCCCTAGCTCTTGGAGAACCCCTTCCCTCTCATGGTTCTCTTGGAGGTCCCCAACTCCAACTTTCTATGCTTCATGCTTGTACTTCCTCCATCATTCTAGTCATGCAGCAGCTGGACGTTTTCATATGGTTCTCACTCTCTAGACCATCTTTCTAAGTGATTCAAATTGGAGATGGTAGCTAAGCCTAAGGCGCAACATCCTACCGAGCGGATTTGCGTTTAGTTGAGTAATGAGTTCGTCGTAGCTTCTCGAAGTGACGGATCCTGTACAACAAGAGGAGGTGAGCGAGAGGAGGGGGCGTTTCTCTCAATTAACTGTTCTGCATTGTAAGCACATGTGAGGGGTGAGTGGAGCAGGAGCGGAGGGCGGTACCTTGGATGTAGCTGGAGTTGTGCAGCACGCTCTCTGCGATCACCACACCACTGCACGCATGGGGGAAGGGGGGGCCAGGGCCATGGGGTTGGTAGGTTGGCCGCATAACCAGGACCATCCCCACACAGGCTGAGAAGGAATGGTTGACACACAAGGCCCAAAGACGAAAGCCAAAGCGAGCCGGCTGCATGGGGAGGGAAGTGCAGATGCCACAGTGCATGGGTGCGGCGTGGGGGAACACCTGAGCACGAAGATGAGCGTGTTGGCGATGTATGCCAGCATCTCCCTGCATGGCACCATGCCAGCACACACACGCACACGGCACACACACATACATGCATGCGTGAGTCAATGACCGGCGGTGGTGATGCCATGTGAGGGATGGCATGCGGCACGAGAAGGAAGAGAGGATAGCAGCGCCCCGTCAGAAGCTGGGGTGCAGAAAGATAGGACTCAACTCACCAGAAGCTGTGCATGTTCTTCTCGTTCTCCCCTGTGAATGCTGTCTTGGCGAATATGGCAAACATGCTGCCATGCCACATCACACATGCCACGCGCACACGATTATGAGAAGTTTAGCTAGAGAAGCTGCGACGAAGCTGCGGAAAAGCTCTTTTATTAGAGCAGGGAAAAACGAGGCAGAAAGATGAGTAAGATGGGCTTTAAGGCACTGACATGCCGAGGGTCATATCAGACATGACTCCGGACATGTTGGTCACCGCGTTCGCCTGCACACAGACGGGTGCGCGGAGAGAGCGGCACAAAGGGTTGGGGGATTGGAAAGTGGAATGTGGAGAACGGTTGGAGGAAGGCATGAAGGAGTGGTCTGGCTGGGACAGACAGAGAGTGGAGTGCAGAAAGCGTGGTGAAGTGTGGCATGGCATGGGAGGGCATGGTATGGCATGGCAGCGGGCGTGAGAGCGGGCGTGAGCGGGCATGGTATGTGGGGGCACATACGACGAAGAAGGCCATGTAGGAACCGCAGATGGTGATGGTGATTTCGATGATGTAGTCGTTGAAGACGGTGCGCAGCCACAGCAGACTCACCACCCCGAACGCCATCCCCAACGCTATGCTGCCATGCACGTGGAGGGGAGGGACGGGAGAGAGGTGTTGGGGAAGGGCGAGAAGGAAGTAGAGTAGAGTAACGAGAACAGTGAGCCGGGAGAGTGAGCGATAGGGGAGAGAGTGGAAATGTTACAACAAGAGAGCTAGTGGGCATTGGAGATGGGTCACGGATGCACATGGGATGGGATGGGAGCACATAGGGGTTGGAAGGCATGGGGCACATGGCATGGAAGCAGGAGGCACGGGGCACATGGCACAGGGAGCGGGGGGGCAGGGGGCCACGGGAGGGAACGCACCCGCCGAAGAAGACGCGGCAGATGAAGGCAACGACCTCGCCCGCTGAGAAGGTGTAGCCCAACACGAGCTGCAGGAACAGCTGGAATATCGCTATGGCCGCGCTGCCGTGGGGGGCGGATGGAGAGATGCACGGAGCAGGGAGGGGATGAGGGGAGTGGAAAAGAAAGAGGGTGGAGGGGGGCAGGAAGATAGTGTTGAAGGCATGGACAATGTTTCCCCACGCCATGGCACGCACTGTTCCCCCACTGCGATTTTACCCATGCCATCCATACATATCACATGTCACGGCCATGCCTCATCACACCATCATCCGCCCGTGGCCCCTCACCCCTCGACCCCTCACCTCTCTCATCACCCCTCATCACCCCTCATCACCCCTCATCACCCCTCACCCGTCGTTCATGAGCGCCTCGCCGTCAATGATGGTGCGCAGCTTCTTGGAAGCACCCAGCTCCTTGAGCAGAGCGACGACAGCAACGGGGTCCGTGGTGCTGAGGACGCTGCCCAGCAGCATGGCCGTGGACCATGACCAGCCGTATGGCAGCACGCACTGCAGCAGTGCATGCATGCATGCAGGGGGGGAGGGAAGAGATAAGAGAGAGCAAGGTGGTGGTGCTGAGGACGCTGCCCAGCAGCATGGCCGTGGACCATGACCAGCCGTATGGTAACACGCACTGCCACCCACGCGTTGCATGCACACAAAGGTGGGGGGAAAGAGGGAAGAGAGAGCAAGGTAGTGGTGGTGGTGCTGAGCACGCTGCCCAGCAGCATGGCCGTGGACCATGACCAGCCGTATGGTAACACGCACTGCAGCAGCGCATGCAAAGGAGAGGGGGAAAGAGAGAGGGCGAGGAGGACTTTTGGAAGCGGGAGAGTATGACAGCACGCACTGCCTCGTGCCGTGCACGCAAAGAGGGAGGGGGGAAGGGAGAGAAAGATATGGAGAAGGATATCCGGGAAGGAAGGGGGAGAACGGACAACCATACCTTGCAGATAACATGGAGAGGGCAAATGTACTTTGCAGATGACACGGATGGGGCAGGCGTACCTTGCAGATGACACCGAGGAAGCCCGTGGTGATGGCGACACCCGGCACTGCCAGCAGGAAGATCTGAAACATGCACCGCTGCCAGGGGGGAAGGGGTCAGGGGGGGGGGGGAATAGCATGTAGGGGGACCGGAGGGCGGGGAAGGGAAAGAACTTGATGGGAAAATGAGGGGGTTTGGGGGTTGACGGGGGGAGGGGGCGAGGAATGAACGAGGGAGGCGATGGGGAGACGGGCGCATGCGCATGGGCCAGAATGATTCTGCGCCACTGAGCATGCGGCATTCAGCAGGCAGCAGAGCATGGGGCGCGCACCTTGATCTGGTGCAGCTCGAAGGCGAAGGCGCTCTCGAAGAGCAGTGCGGGCAGGAAGACGAAGAAGATTATGTTCGGCTCCACCTCCGCCCCTGCACGCCGCTCACCACGGGATGGGGGGAGCCGTGGGGAATGGGAGAGCCATGGGGCAGGCCGGGGCGGGGGGAGGGTGAGGGAGGGTGGGAGGGAGTGCGGGAGTGAGGAGGAGAAGGGAGGAAGTGGGGGAGGAGAGGAGGAAGAAGGGTGGATGGGCGGGTTGCGGTGGAAGGCGGGGGCCGGGTGCGCATGGCGCAGAGCAGAGGGGACGACGATAGCTGCGAAACGACGTGAGAGCGAGACCAGGCGGAAAAGAGGAGTGCGTGCGGGGCTAGTGAATGCGCGCGGGGCGAGTGAGAGCGCGCGGGCGGGCGGGACGTACACATGCGGATGCTGTTGCCGAGCAGCCCCAGGTCCACGTAGAACTCTGCGCGGCAAGGGGGAACGGGGGGAGCGAGGGGAGGGGGGAGGAAGGAGAGGGGGGGAACGGACGGCGGTATGCACACATGACAAGTCGACAGCGTGAGTGCGAGGGGATGTGGGAGAGAAGAGAGCGGGAGGCGAGGAAGGAATGTGGCAAGGCAATGCGAGAGGGGTGTCACGCGCAGCTCGAATAGCTCGCGCTGCTGCAGCCACCCGCGCCGAGTCCTGCTGCTGAAAGCGCAACGCGAAGGTCCCTGCAGGCGCGCAGCACGTAGCGGCGACGCCCGCATCCGCCGCGCGGCCCAGCGTGCGCAGTGCGCCACGGCAGCGGCCGCCGGTACTAGCGCGCTTGTTGACTAACACTATAGTGACGACGCGGCTGGCACCAACGAGCGTACGCGCGATGCTACCCTGCTCTGCCCTGGTCCGACTCCCTCCCACTCTTCCTAGGGATATTATCGCTCCTTCCGTTGCTTTCCCGTGGCGGCACCAAGCGATGAGCACAACCTCCGCCGTCATGCACGGCAGGCTCACCAAAGGCGCCGAGCGCGATGCCGACGAGCAGCAGCGCGACGGTGTACGGCACGCGCGTGTTGTTGAAGATCTGGCGGCACAGCGCGCCGAGCGCCAGCGACACGCCCATGAACAGCAGCGCCACCTCCCCGCCCGGCACGTAGTCCGCCGCGCCCATGGCGCCCGCGGTTCTTGCGCCGCTCCGCACGCGCCAGAGGGATTGCGCGACTAGGCTGGCGCGGGAGTGAATTCGAGAGCGCCCCTACGCCGTCCTACGCGCTAATTGCGCGACTGACGCAAACAGAAAGGCTCATAACGTTAGCGCGTGAACTTGGACGCGTATTTGGGGCGACAGAACAGTCTCCTTCATGTCATATGTGTGGGAGATGCAGCATGCAGTGAGGTGAGGTGGAAAGACTTGCTTCTTTCCTGTGAGTCGTGACGCTTTGCACGGCTCGGTTTGGGCAAGGCGGGATGAAGGAAAGTGGCCGCCACCACATGAACCTGCCCTCTTTTCGATTTCGCCATCTTTTTGTTACTGCCCAACGGCCCTTGAGTGAGCAACTTTCTGGTAGTGTAACTGCAAAGGACGTTCATGAAATCACAAAACTGCCCCGTCCAATTCTTCTCGCCGCCCCGAAGCTTGCAGAAACTTGCAGCAACGAATGGTTGGTTGAGGTTCGTTGAATGTGGGGCGCTCAAGCATTGTCCTGTGAAACACTGCCAGCGCATCAATTGCCCCTTGGCCTCAAGCCTGTCTGAAATATCATTGGCTGGCGACCGCCATTGCCTGTACGGCTTCCCACGTCACTCCAGCTTCATCCAACCAAATAATCGCAAAATTTCGGCTGCAAACTGGTATTTGTCAGCTCACTAGCTTTCTTAAATATTCGTACACATAGTCCAGCTTCACCTGAAACAAGGTTTATGCATTGTGTCGAGAATGACAGTAACGGAATACGGCTCCCCTTTTCTGCTTCCCTTGCCCACGGCACGGCAGCGGAACGATGGCACCAGCTCGCCGCCTTACCTCGTGGCGCGGCCTGGACGCGTGTCTCGGCGCGGTCTACCGCGCGTTTTCCACCTTCATCCCATCCGCCCCTCCTTTCGCCGCCCCTCCGCACGCGCCAAGCTTCGCCGCGTCGTCGCGATCCGATCAGCCAACCATTCCGCGCACCGCGTACGATCTCGAGCAGCAAGGAAGCGCAGCTGAGCCGTTGATTCACCCTGCCGTCTCCGCCGCATCCGGCCCGTCCGTTTTAGCCCCGTCGGATTTACTATTGTCTCCAGACGATGCGAATCGATTTGAGGTTATGGCGGTTCCTAAGAGGAAGGTGCGGATCGGTTTTCGCTGGCAAATGGTTGCATGCAATCACCTTGCTACATCCACCCGACCGTGCCTGCTTTTACCTCCTTTGTCCTCTCGTGCAATCTTGTGCAGGTGACGCCATCGCGGAGGGGCATCAGGAATGGTCCCAAAGCCCTCAAGGCCGTGCCTGTGGTGGTGAGATGCCTGTGAGTGAAGCAGCGGTGCATGTGCAAGCAGTCACCTCCGTCTGTGCATGGCACACGTCCCTTTGCATTGCCCTACCCCCCGCCATGCCACACCCTCTCATGCCTACCCATTGAGTCCTTCTTCCCCCCCTGGCATGCGGCAGGAGTTGTGGGTGTGTGAAGCTGCAGCACCAGTATTGCTGCAAGGACGGGGACAGGCACCGCCAGCAAGCTTCGCAGTAGCACTTTGGTTCTCCAGCGAGCTAGCTTTTAGATTGGAGTGGGATCGTGCATGGGCAGCAGGTGAAGGCCTTATGCCGCCTGATGCGACGAGCTGGTCTGCCTTTAGCAAAGTCTTTGCCCCTCATGGTAGCTCTAACACAAAGCCTTGGAATAAATACCAAGCTATTGCACAGCACAACAAGCCAGTTCACCTGGTTGCGGCTTCCCTAGTGATTCGTGTGTATGGGCTACTTCATACATTCAATCCTGGAGGACGATGCTGTGCTCGCCAAGTCGGCTGCATGCCCGCACAGCTCATTTAGTACCGTATGATCTTGCTGCCAGCAGTGCACGCAAGCACGAGCGTCAGGAGTCAATAGGGTGGCACCAAGTTGCTTTGCCTGTCACCGCATGGCCTGGAAGCCACCAGCAGGCGCTAGGCACGTGGCGCACAGGTCAGCATCTTGGGCGCAGTCCTCGCAGTCTGTTTGTGCACTCATGGAGTGAAGGGGTGATGGCAGGTGGGGGAAAGAGGGACACAGAAAGTACCAGTATGATTGGCATCATGCAGAAAGATGTTTGAGTCACAAGAGGAGATCACGAGGAGGAGCCATAGGAAACAATAAGTCATGACGAAGCACACAGGGCAACAAATGGCAGCAGCACAGGTTGCAAAGCAGAGGTTGCTGAGTGAGAGCAGTCAAAGATGTGACTCAGTGGCTCAGGTTCATGTGGCGTGTGCAGCACAAGTGCTGGAAAGGCATGGAGGAAGGGAAGGGACGAACATCAGCGATGGAGCATGGAGTGTGGGAGTGGGCAAGGCAGTGCGATAAAAGGGGAGAGAGGGCGAGGGGACGGGGTGCAAGCATGGTTGCAGGGAGCAACGAGCCGTACAGCACGAGTGGTGGCACGGCAGGGTCTGCGTGGAGATGGGAGCGTCGAAACAATTCTTGCAAAAATAATCCCCCCCACAGTCCAGATCCATTGAATCATCATCGCCATCATGGGCATCATCGAGGTGATGATGCGCATGATGGGGATGATGAGAGTCAAGGTCATGGTCATTGAGGTGGTGATGGAGGCAGTCCTCTACCGGGTCTATCTCTGAGCCGCTGGTGCTGCTGCCCTCCGCCCGCACCCTCATCTGCGCTCCTTGCCAACGCCGTTGCACCGTTGTCACGACATCGTTCAAACACGGTCCCAGCATGGAGTTGTTGTTGAATTGTTGCATCGCAATGCCACATGCAGGGGAAGAGAGGGGAGGGGAAGAGTGGGGAAGGGGAGAAGAGCATACAGCACAGGATAAGGGAAGGTATGGGTGTGAAACAGCCATGGTTTCAGTACCATGTCATCATCAAGGAAAAGAAGCCGACGAGGCAGGAGGAAGATGTAGCCTCAGCTTCACTCCCTGCCATTAATGACCTTGAGTGAGCTCCCATCAGTGTCAAGTGTGCTTGTCTGCATGCCTGTGTGTGTCGAATACAGGTGAGCAGAGGGATGGGCTTAGTAAAACTGGGCGCGAGCAGGATGAAAGAAGCAGGATGGGAAGAGAGGGGAGCCAGCACCAGGAGGAGAGGAGCAGGGAGAGCACCTTAGCGACCTCGAGTTTGGTGAGAGCCGTCTCCATGTCCGCCTCCAGAGCCATCAGCTCCCTCAGCGTCAACCCCGCCAGCTGCTCGCCCTGCCACTCAAGGGGCGGGAGGGGGGAAGGATGCGTGCCACAGAGTGAGAGAGGAAGCAGGAGCGAGAGGGAGGAGGAGGAGGGGGCAGGTGATCTGACTCGAATTCTACCAAGCTGGTGAAGTGGTTGGCGACGGGGCAGCAATTGCATCCTGACAATCAAGCACTCCCACCCCATCGTCCGCACCTTTCTCCGGGCGAGTTCTTCTTTAAGCGCGGATGTCTCTCGCTCCACCGCCATCTGCACGCGCACCTCCACCTCCCCACTCGCCCCCTCCCCTCCACGCGCCCCCAACCCACCCGCCGACCCCGCTCGGATCAGCTCCATTGCTCTCTCCGACAGGCTCACCCCGCCCTCACTCGTCCCCTCACTACCGCCCCCCTCGCTGCACATGCTCTCCCCTTTCCGCAGCTCCTCCGGCCACCGCCCGCTGCCCCCAATGCTGCCCGCCAGCTCTGCCATCTCCTCCGCATCCAGCAACCCCCCTCGCCCTGCCGTCCCCCCACCCCCTTCCTTGCCACTGCCCTCACTGTCCTTGACAGACGAGGAGCGGCTACCTCCCCCCATGTGTCTGAGCTCAGCCACGAGCACCCACATGGTGCTTAAGTCCCTCTCCAGGGCCGCCTCCCTCTGCTGCGCTGCCGCCAGGCTCTGCTGCAGCTCGCCCACCTCCCTCTGCCGCGCTGCTAGCATTGCATCCTTCTCCGCCTCTAGCCGTGCCGCCACTGCCGCCACCGCTCCCTCCGCCCCCTGCTTCCTCATGCAATCCCCTGCGCCCTCCCCTGTACGACCTTCGCTTTCTCCACCCTCCCCCACTTCCGCGCTCTCCAATCCTCCTGCCTCTGCAGCAGCAGCTGTTCGATATGCTGCCAGCTCAGCACGAGCCGCTGCCAGCTCAGCCTCCATGAGCTGGTGCTGCTGCCGCTGCTCCTGCCACTGCGCCTCCCTCGCCCTCGCCGCCTCCACCTGCTGCAGCAACCTGCTCACATCCGGCCGCCCATCCGGCCCGTTCATATACGCCCCGTCTAAAAACGACGCCAGTGACGGTGCCCCTGCTGCAGCACCAGACCCATCAGCACCGCTACCAGCAGCGGCAGCGGCAGCGGCAGGGGCAGAGCAGGAGGCGGTGAGCGCGAGGGAGCGCGCCCCTGCGAGGTCCTTGGTGAGCTGCAGCTGCTGCTGCCGCAGCATGTCCGCCTCCTGCCTCGCCAGCCTCACCTGCGACCTCAGCCCCTCCAGCTCTTTCGCCGCCACCACCACCATGCCCTCACCACCACCCCCTCCCCCCTCCTCACCACCCCCTGACCCTGCCCCCGTGCCACCCTCGCCCTCCCCTTGCCCTGCTGCGTCAGTGTGCCCGCCAGCCTCAGCCTCCCCGGTGGCGTCCCCTTGTCCCCGGGTGGCGCCGTGGCGAGAGGTGATGGCGCGCGTGAGCTCTACTCGCAGCATGTTCGCCTCCTCCATCAGCTGCTGCACCTGCTTCGTCTGCTCGCGCACAGGGTGGAGAGGGGGCACGACGGGGGACAGGTGCGAAGGGATGAGGAGTGGGATGGGTGTGAGGAAGTTGCAGATTGTGCGAGTGGGGAAGGGGAGAAACGCATGACATGAATTGCTTCGGTGAAGAGGACAATCGAGCAGGTTGACTGGAGTCATTGGCAATGGCGCTGCTCACCTTGGCCTTGAGCGAGTCCTGCAGAATGCGGTTGTCGGCACTCACTATCTGACAGGGCGGCCAGCACAGGGAGCAGGGCAAAGAGCGGGACGTCGTCAGAGCACAAAGTAATGAGGGGAATAACGGCACATGCAAGCAGGCCAATGCAGCGAGCACAAACAGAAAGTTCGTTTTTTAGCGCTCTCTAGCCATCCGCCATGTCAGATCCTTCCACTTAAACCCACATGTCATACGCCTGCTCACCTCCATGTCAAACGTCTTCTCGCTCAGCACTGCCTTGAGCTTCGCTATGGTCTGCACCACATGGGACATGGGCACAGGGCATATGCCATGTGGTGTAGGAAACGGGAGGTTTGGGACAGGGGGCATTTGCAATGGTTCGTGGAACGAGGGACAGGAGGCCTTAGCGTTGAAGAATCAGGCATGGGGCAGGGAAGAGCATGTGGGATAATGCGTCAGAGGAGCCATGAGGCATGGGTGATGGGGCATGGAACATTGGTATCGGGGCATGGGGCATGGAGCAGGGATGTCATGACTACCATGTGCCTTGGTCCCACCTCACCTTGGCCATCTGTTCCTTTGTGGCCGTGTCTGCCTCTGCGCCCACGCCCACGCCCACGCCCTCACTGCCCCCCGCGGCGCTGGCAGCAGGCGACGGCTGGCCGCCCTGCCGGAGGCGCACGAGCTCCTCCATCTCACGCAGCTGCTGCTGCTTGCCCGCTAGCTCCACTCGTAGCCTCTGCACCACCCACACACGTATCCACACGGGGCAGGCAGAGAGAAGCAATGGACAAGTATTGAGGGCGGTGATGTTGAATTTTGGCACATTCACGTCAAAACATGGTAAGAAAGGAACAAAGATCCAGAAACTCCGTTCGACTCTCCACTGCCGATCTGGCCTACCCACGCCCGTTCTTCCAGCACCCCCGCAAGGCTGCTCGACTGACCTCGATCTCCTGCTGCTCCTGCGGTGTGTTCTCGCCCTTGTCTATGAGGCGCCGCAGGTTGGACGTGTGGAACCCCACCTCCGCTGATAGAATCTTCACCTGATGGGGGGGGCACGAGGGGAGGAGGGGCGGGCAGGTAGGACGGAAGGGAAGAAGAGAGGAAGGTAGAGACAGCAGATGAGGGGAGAGAAGGGGTGCATTCCAAGTCTAAGTGTTGTTGTGATGATACGTTGCTGTTGGAAGGTTTCATGGAGGACAGAAATTAGTGTGTGCGCGTGTGTGTGAGAGTGCTATGCTGTGGCACTAGTTAACATCAACGCACAACAGCTTACGTTGCTCACTGACCTGCTCGCGCAGCAGCTCGCATTGGTCCATGAGCGTGGTGCCACTCTGCACATGCCATACACGCAGGGGGGTTGGCGACAGGGAGACATAGGGCAGGGAAACGAATGGGGGAAGGGAGAAAGGGGGCAGGGTGAGAGAGGTGCATGGGAGGCCGTAGAGAAGCAATAGGACATGGCAAGGGAAAGGGACTCGGTTGCAGCATCAACGTATACGGATCATCCACATGCCCTCACCGATGGGATGCGCACGCCTGTGATGTGAAACAGCTCCCCCGCTTGTGTCGACGCCCGCACCGTCTCCACACGCCCCCCTCCCCCCACGCCCATACCCATACCCATCCCTCCCCCTCCCACTGCGCCCGCCTCGTCCACACTAAGCAGCGATGCCGTGCGCCTCACTGCGCGCATCATCCTCGGCGCCCCCGCCCCCCCCCGCCCCCCCCCCCCCGCCCCCTGCCTGCTCCTCCGAGCTGTCCGTGCCGCTGCTGACCATTGTGAGCCACTGCCCGCTGTCGCTGCCTGCTGTGCCTGCCTCCATGCCACCATCCGTGCCGCGGGCAGTGAGGATAGGGTCCACCTTCTCACTGCCTGACAGTGACGCGTGCAGGGCCCCCTCGCCGTCCCCGTCCTTGCTGCTCGCCCCTTCCTTCTGTTTTGCGGAAGGGCAAGCCGGGGAAGAGGGGAGATGAGGGGGGAGTGAAGGGTAGCAGTGAGGGAGGCGGGGACAGCAGTAGCCGTCACTCTCTATTGTCATCCCTCACCATCTCCCATCTCCCTTCACCCTTCACCCTAACTTCTCCAACCCCCAGGGACGCACCTTAGAGCGCAGCCATTTGAGGATCATGGGACCCTCATCGTCGTCCCCTCCCGCTTCCCGCTCTCCCCCTGCGCCCGTGCCTCTGGGCGAGGCAGCGCCACTGCCACTCCCCCCGCTGTACACGCTCACAGACCGCGACCCTGCTGCGCCCACCGTGCCCCCCAGGCGCTGCAGCTGCAGGTCGTCCCCCGCGCCCCCTGCGCCCATGGCGTCGTCCAGCAGGTCGAAGCCCAGGTCCATGCGCCTCTGCTTCAGGTATGCCAGCTGGCAGTGGCGGGGCGATGGCACATGTGCGGAGGGATTGGACAAGGTGGGCAGAAGAGGGATGGGGAGGGAGGGGACGGGATGAGCGCATTCAGGGCACACCAGGAGGCATGAGAAACGCACGGGAGGCATGCTTGATGTGCCTCAACAGCAATCTAACCTTAATCAGAAATGTGATAGCAAGGCCACGTGACACAGAGGCACGCGGTGCAAGGAGCATGCGACTCACGTCCTCCTCGCCGAAGGAGAGGCGGCGACGCAGGCGGCCGGTGGGAGGGGCAAGCTGAGGGGGGGCGGGCTTGGAGGCGGAGGAGGCCTTGGAGGAGACGAGGATGAGCTTGGTGAGGCGCTGTATGCGCGTCAACAGCGCCGCCTTCGCCTCCTCCTCCTCCTCCAGCCGCGACTGCAGCAACATCTGATCCGCCTCCAGCTGAACGGGGGGAAGGAGACGAGAGGAGAGGCACGGGAAAGAGGGGAAGCCGAGGGCAACAATTGGGAGGGCAGAGAGGAGAGAAGAGGTGGCAGGGTGAGGAGAAGCAGGGGAAGGAAATGGAGGACGAAATTGTGGTGCACACAACGTCAGAGAAAGTGCACACAGGTGCGACAGCAGCGAGCAGCAGAGGCAGCTGTGCCCACCAGCTCACCTTCTCTCGCAGCACTGCCAGGTCCTGCCCGCCCATGTCGCCTCCCCCGCTGCCGCCACTGTTTCCGCTGCCAGGCGCGGCCCCCCAGGGCAGCGCGGGGGGGCCATGGGCGTGCGACATGGTGTGCTTGAGGCGCGTGAGCTCGTCCTTGAGCGCCATGATCTCCTTCTGATACTTCTTTATCAGCGACTTCTCGTCCAGGATCTGACGTGCCGCGCAGAGGAGGGGGTATGCGGCGAGGAAAGGGGGACAACCGCATGAGTGAAAGAGGACATTTTTTTGACACAGCAAGAGATGATTTTCAACCTTTAAGGGGGTTCACACTGAAGCAGAGTTGCAGCTGGTGAGGCCAGCGGAGGCACAAGGAGCACCGAATGGCAACGGGGCCTGTGCATGCATCGCATCCATCCCCTGGCGCTGACCTTGTTGGCGTTGGCGCGGATCTCAACGTGCTTGGCGCGCGAGGCGAACTTGAGCGTGTTGTGCGTCTCCTCCAGCGTGCCGGAGGCGGGGGTGACGGTGCAGATGAGCGAGATGCGCGCATTGCCACTCAGCGACGTCTGCAGCAGACGCGTGAGCTTGGAGTCCCTGTACGGTACGTGCGACTGCTTGCGCTCACTCAGCTTCGATATCACCTGCTCCACACGACCACCACGCCGTAGCACACCAGTACAGCACAGGACCATCGCACAACCACACACCAATACAGCATACCACCCCAGCACAGCAACTCAGCACAATGCCTGGACAAGTTAAAGACATCTTCACCCCCACCCCACCAATACGCCCAATGCCCGATGTAAGCACAATCTTTTCTCCTACAACCCCCGTGGAAGGCGAGCAAGGCGTGAATGTGAGTGTATGGGTGGCATGCAGGCGATGATGGTGAGGCAGGCTGACCGTGCCGAGCGTGAGCAGGCTCTTGTTGATGAAGGTGCCCTCTCTGCGCCGCACGTTGTTGCCCGCTGTGGCTCGGCTGTTCTCCGACCCCGCCAGGTCAATCAGGTTCTGATGCCCCACACACGCAAACACACAAACACACAAACACACAAGTACAATCAGAGGAGAAGCCAGAGCCGAAGTTGAGCAAGGAGGACGGTGGGAGGGGTATCGGGAAGGAACAGGGCAGCAAGCATGTCGCAACAACAAGGGACAGCACACTCGCGTCCAGGTCAGCGTACAAACGAGGCTCCCAAGGCGGGGACAAACGAGGAGTGGAGGGAAGGGAAGGAGGGCGAGGAGGGAGGGCGGCGCACCAGTTGCGAGTAGGTGACCTCCTCGTACCCATCCAAGTCCCGCCCGCTGCTCTCCACGGTCTGCCGTACAAGCAGGCATGAGAGGGATTCGGGAATGAGGGACGGAAGGCGCTTGGCAGCGAGCATACTTGTGGAGGGTACAAGGAAATGAAGCAGCCCGCTCTTGCGGCATAAGGTGCAACAAGCACAAAAAAAAACAGGAGTTGGGAAGAGGATGAGGGGGAGCAAGAGGTGGGTGGGAGAGGGGGGGAGGGGAAATGGAGAGAAGGGGAGGGGGGTGGATGGAAAGTGCGGTGTGCGGTATGGGGAGCCGGGAGGGGCTCACGAGAGTGAAGATGGTGTGGCTGCGACTGCTGGCCGTGTTGAAGTGCGTGGCGCCCACATGCCGGTGCTCTGCTCACACACACGGTTGTGCATGCACCAGTGAGATGCACAAGGTGAAGTGCGTGCACGGACACACAGAGATTAGGTGCGCTCAGCAAGGGCGCCATGAGACGCCATGAATTCGCATGATTGGCACAACGATCGACACAGACTTGATCGAACAAGAAGCGCAAGGGGAAGGAGACGGGCATGGTGAGGAGGAGAGGGGGAAGGAGGGGCGTGCCTTCGCCAGCGGCGATGAGGGAGAGGGCGTGCGCGGCTGAGAGCACCACCTCCTCCTTCACGTTCTCCACAAACGTGCCGTGCTGCACGCAGGGGCAGAGGGCACGCAGGACAGGGGCAGGGCAGGGGATGTCAGGGGAGGGTAGGCCAGGGGTCGCACACCCGGGGCAGCGCGAAAACGAGGCGCATCTAGGTTGAAATCCCTTTCATTCCTCTTCCCTCTCATCCCTCTTCAGTTTTCCTCCTCTCCCCTCTTCCGGTCACTCCCTTCGATTTCCTCTCGTTCTTTCCGCGTTTCCCCCTCTGCTCCTCTCCTCTTCTACCCCCCACCCTTCACCCCGCAATCCCGCACCTGGCCATCTTCGCGGATGCGCAGGTTCTGCCCGGCGGGGTTGAGCAAGTCGTTGATCACCTGCCGTGCGGCGCGCGCGGAAAGCGCGGATGAGCGAAGCCATGCAAGGGCGGGCGCGCAACAGGCGCGGGGAAGGGCGGACAGTGTTAAGCGTCAGTGGAGTGGGGTGCGAGACATGTATACATGGCGCGGATGGGTACACGATCGCAGATGCGTGCGTAATTACGTGGCGGCAGATGGAACAAGCGTGTAAGGCGCATAGGTGGCGGCGGGTGCATGCGCGCAAAGCTGCGCGTTACCTCGTTGTAGATCTCGAGGTACGACACGCGCAGGAGAAACTCGCGACCAGGCGTCTGCAGGAGAACAGCGAAGTGACGCGCATAAGGGGTGACGGGAGGGAGTAAGAGGACGGCAGCGAGGCTCGTAGGACGACATGAGAACTGGAAGGTGGGTGTGTACAAGGGCTGCACAACAGTTGCTCTAATCTTCTACTGAAAAATGCCAACATTCTTACTTCGATTAATACAAGAATCGTTCTCATCTCTCACATCCTGAATCGTTCTCATCACTCACATCCTGGATGATGCTGAACACTTCTTTCACGGCCAGCGGAATGACACCCGGGGACTTCTGATCGCCCTGCGCGAATCAGCGCACGCACGCGGAGGGGAAGCACAAGGTGGGATGGGGTGGACAATGAGTGCGACGGGGCAGGAGGAGGAGGTATGCGTGACGCGCGGTCATTCGCAGCGCATTTCACTCACATGCATGCTGCGCGTTTCAGTCAACGCTCTGCGCTCCGCTCGCATGCATGCTGCGCTTACTACTCGCACGTATGCTGCGCTTACTACTCGCACGTATGCTGCGCTTTTGCTCGAACGCATACTACGCTTTTCACTCACGTGCATGCTGTGCGTTTTGCCGCTGCTCGTGACGCCGTACGCGAAGACCGTTCCTGCAGGGAGAATGCACAGTCGAACAAGGCCACCAAACGCACACACACACACGGTATAAGCGGGATGCGAGACCTCTGCGGCGCCGTGCGGCATTCTGTTGGTTCCTTTTCAGCCGTCCGTCATCATTGCTCACTGTTCCGGAATCATCTCTCACCGTTGATTCCTTCCATCGCAGCAGCTACGACGGGCTGCGCTGCCACGTCATACACCCCCCGCGTCGTTGTAGCGGGGCCGAACACCTTATCTGCACTCACAATTAGGTAGGTGGGAGGATATGGGAGAGATGAGACAGGGTGCCGAGGAGGAGAAATATGGGTGGGCAACTGGAGAGGCACTTTGAATTACTAGTTACGGAGCCATTAGCTCATGCCTAGTATGTCTACAAACTCTCAGCTTTGAGCATGAAAACATGTGAAACGTCGAGCGGGTTATGAAGCTACTGGAGGCACTAACCGTAAGCGTAGGCGATGGAGGGGTTCGACTCCATGCGCACTATCTTGTCGCCGTCCGCGTACCACCCCACGTCCTCCCCGCGCTGAATCTCCCTCAAACTGCCACCACCACACCATCACGCAGCCACAACAGTCAGTCAGTCTCCCGTGAGCCGCTGCAACACGAGACTACGATGTTCGACCCGCTGCAACACGAGACTACCTCAACGCTGCGAGTCTGACGACGAACCTGAGTGGCCGGAAGCGGACGGTGACTAGAACGTTCTCGTTCTCCAGAGGGTTGGGTACCACCGCCATCTCCGGCACCAGCATTGGGTGTTGCTGGGTGGACGGCGCGAACGACACCTGTCGCGGCTGGGGCTGCGCGTGAACACGTGGCCCTGGGATGGCACTCCCACGAACCGTATTGCTGCTAGGACTCGGACTCGAAGCGCGGGCCATTATCGGCTTAAGGCCTGACTGACTACCGAGAGGCGGTGCGGTTGCAGGTGCGTGGCTCGTCGGCTGTCTAGACGGCCTAAAAGCTGACAGGAGGTTTGGGGTGCCGGTTGTGTGGCGGCTCGCTGATTCATGAGAGGTGCCTGACGGCGTGGCCTCATCCTCCGGCACTACGGGAGATGCGAATCCCGGCAGAGGCAACTTGGAACCCGCATAGTTCACTCTCCGCTTGGAGGTACTGCCGCTAGGACTCGGAGGCGCCTTCTTACTCGGACTGAAGGAAAACCTCCTGACTAGCTTACTGTCCATCATCCTGCCACTCGCCGATTCTTTGGACACAATGTGAACGGTCTAGAACGAGGTCATGCCTTTAAATTGTTATTCTAGCTGTGCTGTGATTATGGTGGAAGGTCGTGGGTGTTCCTAAAGCGCTGTGCTTCGACTAGTTAACCAAAAAAAAACTTCTTGTCATCTTTCGTAAGTTTCCGCGCAAGCACTTCGATTGTCACACCCGTGCCCGAGGTAAGTCGATCGCAAGCTAGCAACGTAAGTTACAATTGTGCAGGAATGGACGTGATGTGGAGAGATGCTGAACCCCAGTGCCAGAGAGAGAGACCCCTTGGGATCAGATGCTGGATGCAGAAAGGATCCACCTCTCATGCCTTAGCTATTGAAGAACACAGCAGTGCCGCCGTTGGCTCTGCTATCCCACTGTGGTTTCCATGCAACTTTTGAGAGGCGGGAAAGCTATGCCCGAACAAGCCGCTATGAAGTCTCGGTCCTTGTGGTACAACTTCCGAGTTTGACCTTGCCTGCACCACCAACTTCCAGGTATGTAGCGTTGCGTCGCGGTTCGAGCGGGTTTTGGTTCTGACAGGCGATGCGATTGAGCCAATCGAAGGAAAGCTGACGGCTTTTCCATCAGGGTACAGCAACAGTTGATGGTTCTGACGCTGTTACAAGTAGCCTCGTTATAATAAGAAAACTCTCGAGTCACACATAGTTGCTTCTATTCAGAATGCCAATTGCAGCAAATGTCCAGCCACTTTATATATCAGGACATTATTAAGAATACAAGAAAAAAGTTTATTAAATGTAATATGTTGATTATTTGCTTCTGACCTATATTGCTAATGTGATTCATTCTCCCTTCTATATGCTATGAAGAAAGAAGGAAGCGGATAGAGAAGGAATACCGTATATGAAGAACATTTCCAATGTAGAACTTGCTCTACATTTGTACTTGTGTTCTACAAGTGAGCGTTCTTCAAGTTCTCCACTCCCCTCTGCTGGCGTCGCCTGCGGGGTCAGAGCGGACGTGACAGAGACATACTTGAGCCCTATTGGTGGAGACTAATTTCCATGCCCCAAGGACACGGGCTGAGTGGGGCGTCGAACGAAACCCCATGTCAGCTTGCTGACGCGCCTTGGCGAGAAAGCCTTTGGCGGGGCACTCGCGTCGCAGTCAATTCGGCTGCTTGCTCCTCTGCGCTGGATGGGATCCCCCCGACACACAGACATTCGCCTCGCCTCCGCTCGATTACAATCGAGCCGCGCATTGAAGTTCCTTCCCTGCCATACAGTATTGAGATTTTCCACCCATTCGCAACCCTTGCGCATTCCCTTGGCACGGTGGCTTCACATAGCTCCCTCCCTCCCTGCTTGCTACTGGAGCGCGTCACAAAGCATAAGGCGACGCACCAAGTGGCATCGATCCATCCATCAGTCGCGGGTCGACGACTGCATTCACTTTGCTGTTGTCATCTGGGGAATAGATTCAGACGGACAGGAAATTGAAAGTTAGGCTGGTGTTTTTTCACCTGCTTCTCTCCCAAGTTTCATTCGTGAGCACCAAATTGAGCTAGACCATAGCAAACTATCAGATAGTCGTAGTCCGCTACGAATGACAGCCATGATGAGTAGTTTACGATGGACCCTGGCAGCATGCTTACTCCTATCCGCCTTAGCGCTCGTGGCGTGCAAGCCGCCGCCGCGGCCGGTGCAGGTGAACAACCAGATCTGGGTCAAGGGCTTCGGACCCATACAGGGCACGGGGTGCCCCGGCTTCACCAACGTCTCCGCCTTCTACGGCGTGCCTTACGCCCTGCCGCCCATTGGCAAGCTGCGGTTCGCGGCGCCCGTGATGTGGGACAAGCAGTACCCGTTCCCCTACAGACGCGCCGACACGCCCCCACCCAAGTGCCCGCAACCGTACCAGGCGGTCACTGATAACATCCGGGAGGTCAGTGCGATGCGATTGGAAAAGCGCGCAGGAAGTTTTAAACATGAGTCAAGCTATGCAAGGGCGACTACGGGGTTGCTGGGGACTCGATGCTTGTCGTCCGTCTGCTAGCCTTGACGGATAACTGCTCGGTCCTCCGATCAAATGCCTTCTGTTATCACTCACCACCTGCAAACCTGCCTCATCTTCTCTCAATCCGTCACCCCTGCCCACCGCTGTGCACCGCAGGACTGTCTGTACATGAACATCTTCACGCCGGCGAACGCGACGGCGAGCAGCACGGCGGTGCGTGTGCTGTTCCACGGCGGGTGGTTCTACAAGGGGTCGGCGTCCGACGACTTCGTCAACGGCTGCCAGTCCGTCGCCGAGACCAACACCACGCTCGTCATCGTGCAGTACCGACTCGGCGCGCTCGGCTTCCTCGCGCACCCCTCCACCTTCTCCGAAGGCGAAACCACCGGCAACTGGGGTGAGCCCGCCTCCGCCTCCCCCAAATTTCACTCCACCTCTCCTCCCCACGCTGCTCTACTCGCCGCCTGCATGAACCGCTCCTCGCCCGTGTTGCTTGCGGCAAGTCAAGCCGGCCGCATTCGCCTTACCTTCGAGTTCTTCATTTTCTGATCTTCACTCCCCGTCCCGGCGTGGCGTGCAGGGCTGCTGGACCAGCAGATGGCGCTCAAGTGGATTTCCAAGTACATCGGGTACTTCGGCGGCAACTCGTCCGTGCAGATCATGGGCCACAACGCAGGTGCGCTCCGTCGGGTGGTGGGGTGACACACGGTGGTGGGACGACACAGAGGGGTGGGCTTGTAAGGCACTTGGGGGCGGGACGGTCGGAGGTGGTAGGCAGTCCTAGGATGCAAAGTTCGGGCCGAGGGTTCGCCATGCGCGACGCGAACATTTCGGGGTAACTTGTTCGTGCATATCATAGGCTGCATCGGTGTGCGTACAACGCGCGGGGCGGAGAGAAGGAATTAGATGCGTAGGATGCAGAATATAAGCGGCGAGGGCGAGAGTTGACAACTGCGAGAGTCCGATCCACGTCCCACAGCCCGACAGCGCAGTTACCAACGCGCGTACCTCCTCGCGTCCACTCGCCGCTCACCTCTTCGTTCCTCCCCGTGTGTGCCCATGTGTGTGCGTGGTTGTGGTTGTGGCAGGCGCGGTGAGCGTGATGCTGCACATGGTGAGTCCGCTCTCCAAGGACCTCTTCACCTCCGCCGTCGCCTCCAACGGCGCCGCCATCCCGCTCTTCACGCAGAACCGGGTGAGTCGTCGTCAGGTTCCTAGCTCGCCCATGGTCTGCCAGTCGCCTTGCTCCGGACGTCCACCTCGTCGTCTCGTGCTCACGCATTCCCCGCTTCCCATTCGTGCCTCACCTCGCCCCCTTTGTGCCGCCATTCTGCGATCCCCCGTTGCTCCGCGTTCAGGCGTACGACTCCACCTACACGCTCGCCGAGGCGCTCAACTGCCCCCTCGACCCCGAGACGCAGCTCGAGTGCCTGCGACAGGTCAGTCCTGCGACGCCCGGCGGCAAGCTCGCATATCATTCGCAGTCCGCGCTTTCACACCTGGAAAATCATAAGTGCGTAAATTCAGTCTCGTTTCCGCCTATCGCCACTTCCCACCCGTCCCCGTGTCCCCTCACATCCACGCCCGCTCATCCCGCGCCCGTACCCCCGCCTTCCCCTTTCCCCCCCGAGCAGACGCGGTGGCAGGACATAGTAGCGAAGACCCCAGTGGTGAAGGACATATACCGGCAGCAGAAGCGCATCTTCTACCCGTGCATCGACGGCAAGGTCATCCCGCAGCAGCCGCTGGACATGCTGTCCAACGGGCAGCTGAACCCCGCGCCGCTGATGATGGTGACGAACAAGGACGAGGGGCGGCTGTACGTGCTCGAGTCGTTCGGCAAGTGGTGGCAGCTCAACGACACCAGCGTCAAGACCTTCCTCGCCAACGTGTACCCGGGCGTCGACCCCGCGCAGATCATCCAGCACTACTGGATCAAACTCTACGACAGTGAGCCCTGCCACCCCTCCCTCCGCTCCGCGCGCCCTCCCTCCGCTCTCTTTCCGTTCCGCGCGCGCTCTACCGCGTGCCCGGCCCTGCTTGCCCGCCGTTTACTCTGCCCCTCCGCATTTCTGCAATTATCGTATCCCCTGTCTTCCGTTTCCCCCACCGGTCCACCCCTCTCCTCTTCCAGGTGTGTTGGAGCAGTACGCGGACATGTGGACGGACATTTTCATCAACTGCCCCGCCTACAAGACGCTCGTCGCGCTCTCCTCGTACCAGTTCCCGCCCTTCGACGAGTGCGCGTACCCCTCGCCCTTCTACATGGGGTACGGCGCGCCCTGCAAGATTCCTCTTTACCTCTACTACTTCGCCGTGCGCTCGCCGTGCCCCGCCGCCTCCAAGTTCCTCGGAGCCACCAGCAAGCGCGACCTGCCCTACTTCTTCAACCTCGAAGCCGCGCAGACCGGCTGCTCGTTTGATCAGGTATGCCAGCGGCCTCGCCCTGCTGTGCTCTTGTTCTTCTCCTATGACATGCTCTGCTCTGTCCATGCTTGGCTCCCCCCACTGTGTCTCCTCACCAATGTTACTGCTCCTACCCTTAGCTGTGACTTAACACTCCCCTCTTTGCTCCTCCCCCTCTTCACCCACTCCAATCCCGCTGCAGAACGAGACAGCACTGGCGTACGACACGACATACGCCACGGGCACGATGGCGAACGTGGGCAAGCCCATGTTCGCCAACAACACGCCGTGGGTCTACTGGACGCCCGACGCGCAGACCGCCATGGTGGCCGATCGCTCCATGGGCTACCTGGGCTATAAGACTATCGACTTCGCCACCAAGTGCGCCGTGTATGACAATCTCGTGCGCCCGCCGCCCGCCAGCCCTAAGATTCCACGCCTCTCGCCTGGGTTTGGGCCTGTGATTCCCGGGTATCCCCTTGGGATTGCCGGGTCGCTGCCCTCGCCGCCGCCCCCGCCTGTGCAAACGCCGAAGAAGAGTGGAGCGCGGTTGAGAGGGGCTGGGGTGGTGTCGGTGGTGGTTGGGCTG